AATTTGATTTATACCCCGCCTATCTGGAATACCAGACCACTCTAGGCAGCTATGACACAATGCCTTAAGAAAATGATACGTGTTAGTGTTGTGTCAGTTATTGTTTTGACAACTAAAATTGCAGTCTTTTTTCTTTTCTTTTCCTGTGAGTTTCTCTCTTTGGGATCCTAGTCTGTAAATTAACTTTTGCAACCTGTTTGCTTTTGTGGGAATGGTTCAGTTCATCACATACCAGACCACTCTAGGCAGCTATGACACAATGCCTTAAGAAAATGATACGTGTTAGTGTTGTGTCAGTTATTGTTTTGACAACTAAAATTGCAGTCTTTTTTCTTTTCTTTTCCTGTGAGTTTCTCTCTTTGGGATCCTAGTCTGTAAATTAACTTTTGCAACCTGTTTGCTTTTGTGGGAATGGTTCAGTTCATCACAGCAGCAAACAGATCAACATCATTGATGAAATCCCAACATTCTTTTATTTAAATAGTTTGAAAAAATGTCTCAATGGATGGATAGATGATTTTCCTTTAAAGACATGATGGACCCTACCAGAGTAGAAAACGATGGGGTTTGTTTAATACTCGCCAGATATGCAAATAAAATCAGAAATGCTAGTATGAAAAAAAATTAATGTCCTAAGTTTTGGTCACACATAACTTGCATATGATATTTGCTTCATATGTTGTGATGTGTCTGAGTGACTACAAATAATGTTTTCATATTGCCTTCAAGACAGTGCTTTTCATTAAAATGCTTTTTCTCATTACTTCAGTTTGTATTCTGCTTTTCTGCTTAAATGTGTCCAAAGCAGACTTGGGAAGGTCACAGTTTTGCATTGCAGCTCGGTCATGCCGATTGTGCGAATTGTAGTTTTAAGAAAGCAACTTTCTCCCTCTCTGTGCCAGAATGTTTCACAACACAAGGATGATAATGTATATTAACACAGTGTTATTCAAACACTGGGAACCAAGCCAGCTGCAAAACAGGAAACACATGAAATACCTACTGATGCTTTATTTTTTACTTTATTGTAGCAGCAGGGAGACTGCAAATTTGATCATCACATGTGGTAGTAGAGGGACATCTATTATTTAAACTTTGCCTTCCTTTAATCTACTTTTCTATCCAGCAAATAGGAAAGTCGTACTTTGGGGTGGGGAGAGATTTTCATCAGAAACTCAGTCCGTAGAGAAAAAGTTTAAAAGCACCCTTCTGTTTATTTAAAGTATGCCTAGGTTGCCTTTCAAACAAAGCCTTCCAAAGGCTGCATACATAAAACATACAATTATAATACACCGTTACAAATAAAATATAGTAATCTACTACACCTGTTTAAAACGCATCATAGTTCAGTCCAATATTCATGTAAAACTAATGCAGACATTGGAGTACAATTAAAACAGCAGCAAACCATTAAATGCTCTATTTAAGCCATGAAACAGTGTTTTCTGCAGCACCGATGGACTCAACTGTGTGTCCGTTGGGGAGGAGTTCGTCTTAGTTGTTTAGTCATGTCTGACTCTTTGTGACCTCATGGACCAGAGCACACCAGGCCCTCCTATCTTCCACTGCCTCCCAGAGTTGGGTCAAATTCATGTTGGTTGCTTCGCAGACACTGTCCAGCCATCTCATCCTCTGTTGTCCCCTTCTCCTCTTGTCTTCACACTTTCCCAACATCAAGGTTTTTTCCAAGGAGTCTTCTCTTCTCATGAGATGGCCAAAGTACTGGAGCCTCAGTTTCAGGATCTGTCCTTCCAGTGAGCCCTCAGGGTTGATTTCCTTTAGAACTGATAGGTTTGTTCTCCTTGCAGTCCAGGGGATTCTCAAGAGCCTCCTCCAATTCAAAGGCATCAATTCTTCGGCGGTCAGCTTTCTTTATGGTCCAGCTCTCACTTCCATACATCACTACAGGAAAAACCATAGCTTTGACTATTTGGACTTTTGTTGGCAAGGTGATGTCTCTGCTTTTTAAGATGCTGTCAAGGGGAGGAGTTACATACACAGATATAGGACTGTTAGGAAGAAGGGCCCATCCTAGTTTCTGTTACTCTTCCAATCAAATTAATAGCCACCTGTAGTTGTAGCAGAATAAAAAGTATGCATGTGCACACACACATGTACACAGAGAGCAGTGGGGAGACACTTTACGGATCTCCCTTGCCATGTCTAGTTGGACTCTCAACAGTTATCAAGGAAAGAGAAAGTAAACATGGCTCTCAACTGAATCATTCAACGAAAACATATGAAATGGTTTGTGATACACACATGTTCACAGGATGTTTCTCTGCCAGTTCTCTAACATACTACATTTTAGTTTCAGTTTGTCTTTCATAGTAGCAGTATTGCTTATGATAGCTTTCCAGGTTGACTGGTGAAGATTTCTCCTCTTGGTTTGGTCTCTGCCAAGACCCTCTTTTTCAAGTAGAGACTGAGAGGAAGATTACTCTTATGAAGCATCACTTTACATTCAGTTTGTGCCCAGACAAGAGTAGTAATTGCTTCAGTTCAAGGATTATTCTAATGTACAGTGGTGCCTCGCAAGACGATTGCCTCGCCGGACAAAAAACTCGCTAGACGAATGGGTCCAGCGAGGTTTTTGGTGCCTCGCAAGACGATTCTTCCTTTGGCCGTTTTTCTCACGATGAATGCGCTTGCAGAGGCTTGTCCAGCACCATTTTTGAAGACTGCGCCCTATCCCCCTGGCTTCGGTAAGGCTCCGAATGGAAAAAAAAGAAAAGAAAGCCTTTTTCTATTCGGAACCTTACCAAAGGCAGGGAGAAAGAGCACGATCTTCAAAAATGGTGCTGGACAAGCCTCTGCAAGCACCGCTCGCCCCTCAGAGGGACCCCCACCAGTCTTCCAATGGTGCAAGGGAAATGTCGGGGGACCTCCTAAGGCGGTGATCCAGGCAAGGGGGCTCCCCGCCAGTCCTCTGATGGTGCTTCCCCAGCTCCCTAACTGGTAAGTGACTTTTTAAAAAAATCCCATAGGAACGCATTAATTAAATTTCAATACATTCCTATGGGAAACCGCAGCTCGCAAGACGAAAATATCGCAAGGCGACATTAACCCCGGAACAGATTAATTTCGTCTTGCGAGGCACCACTGTATAGTACAGTGTACAGTACTATATTGTACAGTGCCAACAATAGTGCAATGTGAAATGAGCTTTTGTGCAGATAGAAGTATGAAATTTAATGAAGAACCATGTTGTTTCTTAAAAGGAAATTAGCGAGAAAAATATACAAGATGGAGCATGGTGTATATCGTCTAGCAAAGCCTCTGCTGGTAGTTTAGGAGCCAAGCACTTCTCTCCCTCTGGTAACTGGTAGTTGGATGTTTTTCTGCCCCTTCTCTGCCTCTCATCCCTTCTCCTGGTATTCTTGTAGTTCCAAGGAGAGTTGCTCTGGTCTAAGCCTATAGGTTTCAGTGGACTTACACTGGAGTAAATCTCTTTAGGATTGAGCTGTGAGGTGCTAATATCTTGAGGGTGAATCAAGGAAGTTGGTATGTACTAAACAGCGTTGCAGAAAGTGCTCGTCTGTGGAGTGGCCATCGTGGAAAGTAAAAGACCTTTATCCTAGGGGGAAAAAATTCTAAGTTATTATTTGTTTTTGTCCGAATCTTTGAAGCTTCCAGATTTTGTTCAAAAATGATCTCTTTTATGGTAGATTTTATTTTATATCATGGGCAGGCAGACATTAATAAAGAATTCAGATGAATTCAGATATGCCTTGCTTTCAACAGCGATGTCAGATTCTGGGTGAAATGTGTGGAATACAAATTTAGGGGCACAGTTTTAACTTGGACTAGAATCTTATAATCTTGTCTTTCCCTGAACAGCTGAAAGCTGTTTAACTTTCTGGTGCTTTACCTTCTTATTGTTATGTGGAAAAATAAAAGCAGTTTGGTACTTAATTCTGAAATGTCTACTCTCATGCAGTTCCTCTCATTGCATCTCTTCGGCATCATGTCATAGTGGGTGGTGGATGGGTTGTGTTGCCCCTAGTAAACAAACTACAGCCAGATTAACAATACATAATAATAAATCCTGTGCTATCAAGTCAGTTTTGACTTATGGCGACTCTTTCCAGGGTTCTCTAGGTAGAAAATACACAGAAGTGGCTTACCATTCCCTTCTTCTGGGGGGTGTCTCAGGACTATGCAGCCTGCCCAAGGCCACACAGGCTGGCTCTACCCACAGTGAGGAATCTAAATCCCAAGCATAACTAAACCACTGAGCTACCCATAGGTAACGTCAATAGACTTTGTCCCCAAACCCTCAAATTATGCCCTCATGAGCTTTTCAAAATTTGGATTCCAGTGTTAGCACTTGTTGTCTCTTCCTTGAAATGTCTCTTATTTATTTTCCAGGCACCATCTGAAATTGAAAAGACTGTCATGACATCATACAAATTGGTTATTAAGGTAAGCTGCTCTTCAGAACATGAATAGTAACTGATTACTTCTTTCGTTGAAACACACAGCCATAAGATGATAGCATAGTCCAGTTTGCTGGAAGAGTAGCATGGCAAAATGTCATATCAGTCCAATCATCTGTTCTTGAGGACAATACGAGCAAAAGGTGCGCCTTCTTGAAGATGGTACATTTGAGTAAAAGGTATTAATGGGTTGAATCCTGAGAAATGTGAACAGAAGAAAAATAACCACTCCATCCATCCTCAGATTATGCATAGAAATTGTTATGTCATTTATAGTCAGCTTCGTAATGATTTTATTTGTTTAGGTGGAAAAATTATGATTTAATTTTACTGCATAAGGTACAGAACAGCCTCCATGAGTTGAAGACTCTTTCAAGATACAGTTAGGCACTTTTGAGTCCAATCCAATGATTTACTATAGTCATGTATGTACCTACCTACCTACCTACCTACCTACCTACCTACCTACCTACCTACCTACCTACCTACCTACCTACCTACCTATGTACATACATACGTACATACGTACATACGTACATACGTACATACATATTTATGGCTGGTAATCATAAGTTTGTTTCTGAATTCCAAGTCTGTTTTTCAGTTTTCTTTTCTCAGTCAGCTGTGTAAATCATGTATCAGATCACACATGATGCTGCTGTCTTGGGAGTCATTGCGGTCTTGGGCGGTCAGTTTGTCTTATTTTACTATTGGCTATTACATTGCTTTATACTTCTTTTTGCAGTTTGTACAGCAATAGCAGACATTTCCTTAACTCACGTTGAACTACCAGAACCTACGTATGCACTTCACAAACAGTATGGTTCTCCTGTCTCAAGAAGCATGCTGCTTTGTGTGTATGAACAGCTCTCTCTGCTGTGTAACTTCACACCATGCCAGGGGTTCACAGAACCCTCCACCCTCAACTCAAAATGATATGCAGATTGGGTCTGATGCACCTGTACCCATAGGAGACATTCAGACCCGTTTTATCTCTGAGCCCAGGATATTTTTCTGTATATTTCAGGGTCTACGGTTAAAAAAAGAAAAGAAACTGTGAATAGCAGGGGTGCACAAACTGCTATGACCTGGCAGGGCTACACAGCACCCTAATGATGTGGTCTGTCCCATACAATAGTTACTCTTTCACAATCACACACAGTGAATCCTACTAGGGAAGCGGTTCCACAGCACCCCAATGATGTGGTCTGTCCCATACAATAGTCACTCTTTCACAATCACACACTCACAGTGAATCCTACTAGGGAAGCGGTTCCCAACCGTGGGTCCCCAGATGTTCTTGGACTAAAACTCCTCCACTAACTGTGTTGGGCGAGATTTCTGGGACTTGTAGTCCAAGAACACAATGATGTGGTCTGTCCCATACAATAGTCACTCTTTCACAATCACACACTCACAGTGAATCCTACTAGGGAAGCGGTTCCCAACCGTGGGTCCCCAGATGTTCTTGGACTAAAACTCCTCCACTAACTGTGTTGGGCGGGATTTCTGGGACTTGTAGTCCAAGAACATCTAGGAACCCAAGCTTTGTCTGGGAGAAAGCTCTGGAAAAATGCCTTGCTGGGGTGAGAGGTCTCTTCTTGCCCCTCACGCTGTTGGCAGCTTTATAACAAACACCTGCCACCACAACCGCAGACACCCACATGTGGGTATTTGTGTGTATCTGCATATTAATAGATTTAAACATCTTTCAAGTGCAGAATCTTGAAAGTATGTTTCATTTTAATGTGTAAAAGGGATTTACAGCAGCCCTGGTTGATGAGAGGTGTTCGCGTCACTGCTTAGAGCGAGCAGTGCCTGTCCGCAGTGCCTGCTTCTGGCAGTGGTCCCAAGGAAAGGCATGGCAGCCTGTGATTTTGTCAATATTGAGGGTGGTTCATGGTCTGTTGCATCTGATTTCCACCAAGGAAGGCATCATGTGAGCATAGGCAGTGTTTGCGGTTTTAGACCCCCTTTTAGAGCACAGCAAAGTTTACTATGGACATCCAAGTCCCCAGTGTGGTCTGTAGACCCCTAACATGTAAGCAGTAAATGAACTCCGTTGAGGAGAGGAACAGTGCGGAGGGGCTGTGAGCTTGATGAAGTGACTCTTCTCCTGGTCTCCTAGGGATGTAGTCAGTTGCCAAAATAAATAAGTCGGTCAAGTTTCCACATTTATTGGGAGTCCAGAAATTGTTATGATTGCTGATCAGCAATCATGTGGGGACTCTTGGTACAATGTAGAAATTCAGACAAGTCATAGTCTATCTCCATTTATTTTGGCAGCCAGCTTTGCCAGTTGACATCAGGATAGGTTAACAAAATACTAGCTTCCTCTAGAGGACTGATTATAACCGCACAAGTGAAGTACACTCTCAGCGTGGCTTTTTAAGAACGACAGATAGTCATTTTAAAATTTGTACTTCTGTATCTTATCAAAACAAATGCATAGAGTATTGCTGAGTGGGGTGAAGCGGGGTTTTTTTAGATGAAGAAGGAACTGGTTTGACCAGTATGTTACTCATTTATTATATTTCTGTACTGTATGGTATCCAAAGCTATCTGCGAAATCTTTGAATACCCTGGGCTAATTGATATAGTCCTTTTACTGTGCCTGCAAATCTATGCTCCCTTATACAAGAATAAACCCAAATGACTGTAATGGGACTTATTCCTTCGTTTAAGATCTTAAGATACACTTTGTATCAAAAATATTTCACTTCAGTCATAAAAACTGAATGGTTAGCTGCTAATTTTGCATGTATACAGTTCTGAATTTTTAAAATGTGGCTTTTCAGCTGATGAAATCCTACTTTTTTTGTTGTTCTGTTCTCCTTCTGAAAAGGATATATTTCTCTTTCAAAAATGTTTACCAAGAACTCCCAAGTACTTTATGGTTGCCAAAACAGTGGATGGAATGTGGGTATATAAAACTATTCATTGCAATACATTTGAGATTATAAACTGGTGCAAATGTGCATGGTGATGTATTTGGTATCAGACTTAATATAGGTTTTTGTCCTCTGAGCAAAATGCATCACAGTCTCTTGCTCTGATATTATCCCAAATATTTCCGCTAAGAACGATTTGTGAGACTGGGAGATTCGTCTGCTCATCCGTTTATGTCTCAGTGGTTTCAATTTAGGGAGAAAAGAACACCTACAGTCTTAACAGTTTTATTTTGATGGAGCACATGGATCTCATTAGGTATCTCCTTGAGGATCTGAGAATATTTTGTAGATGTAGTCATGCACTTTTTTCTGTAGAGGGCACCGTTTATCTATATTTAAGCTACGAATCTTTGGTTCAAAGTTAGCACCACATTTAGTCAAGATTGTCCTGCTGATATTACAATGTGTTATGGAAAGCTGTTCCATTGTAAAATCACACATTTGTGTTGCTCTTTGGATAGAATGCTGTAATATGATGTGAAACAAGTTTCAGTAAAATGTGAAACAAGTACTTTGTGCTGTAAATGTGATCATGTACACTAAAATGTGAAACAAGTACTTTGTGCTGTAAAGCAGCCCTCAGCTTTCCGAGTTGGGTGTGAATCGCATTGATTGGGGGGGAAACCCACTTAATTTAAAAGATGGCTTTGGAGCAATGTTGTTTTCAGCACACTGCCCATGGCAGTCCTTTTACAAATGTCTACTATTAAAATGTTATAGCAAATCAATATAAATTAGTTACGATTGGTTGTTGTGTGTGTTTAGAAGAAGTTGATACACCATCAATTTGTGCCATGCAACATCTGGCATTTGTGTTAAAATGGAAAAAAGAAAGAAATATTGGAGATTGAGGATGTTATCACTTAGAGGATACTCTTTGGAACCCAGTGTGTCTTACTTCTGAGTACATATCCACTGGCTTAATCTTAAAAACAGGATTTTATTAGGAGCAATAAGATTGCCAAGTCCACTAAATCTTCCAGAGTCTCACAAATAGTTCTTAGTAATAATATTTTGGAATAATATACCACAGAGCAAGAGACTGTGATCCATTCTGCTCAGAAGACCAAAACAAACTATAGTAGTACCTTGGTTTATTAAATTAATACGTTCTCCGGAATGTTACATAATGCGAAATTTCATAAACCGAAACACGGATTGCCGTAGCAATAGCAGCGGTGCTACAGACCTCCAGGAAACCGAAGGAAACTGGGGGGAAAAACCCATAAACCGAGGCATTATTTCAAATGGATTTCCATTTGTAAACTGGAAATTATGTAAACCGAAGCATACGTAAACCGAGGTAACTACTGTATGTTATCTTTGATACCAAATACATTGCCATGCAAATTGGCACCAGTTTATAATCTCAAATGTATTGTAATGAATGGTTTTATATACCCACCTTCTATCCACTGCTTTGGCAAGCATAAAATAACATTTCCAACAATAACTGCATCTTGATTTCCTTCTTATCGTATTAGCTGCAACTTTGCATACTGTGTTGCCTTGTATGGTTTATTAGGCTAATAATGTATTCTCTTCAGGACCGAGATTTTGAAAGGACTCAGTGCACAGCCATCATGCTGAATGATCAAAATAATTTAGTTTCTCCTTCCTCTGTTTAAACTTCTTAGCTTGTAGGTATTACCAGCTTATTTTGTTCTCAGTGCTATTTTTCAAAATAGCACTGTGCAGCTGATAAGGTATTTTGCTGCTGGGCCCCTTGAGGGAATGTTCCCCCATAAACAAAGACACTGTTGCTTAACAGATGAATGTGCTCTTGCGCTCTCTGATGAAAATGATAGCTGTGATTAAAATATGAAATATTAAATGCTCTCCCACATAAACAAGTTTTGATTTCTTCGCACTTCCTGAGGGCACTCTCTCGAAGGCTTTAAAGTAGACTCCTAATAAAACTGGAATTATCTGCTTATTCTCTCACTTCCCTCCTCATTCCCCTGAGAAACTGTTTGCTTGCCAGACGGCATGCCCTTCTACCTTTTGGATTCATATCAGTGAACTGTATGTCCTT